AATAAAATAAAATAAAATAAAATAAAATAAAATAAAACAAAATAAATGAACTAAATGCCTTAAATATTATAGGATCCTGGATGGAGGAAAGCAGCGATTCTTGCCAATATTGCAAAAACTGACATACTTCTCTCCAAAAATAAAACTAGCTACCACCCCAACTGCCACTACTGGGGAATTACACAGACCAACAAGGTTTCAGAACCAGAAACTTGTATATGTATACTTTTCCGAAGGTTTTCGGTGCGTTAAATTCGAATCTGCACTCAGAATTTCTCTGTTTGTTGCGGTTTAAAATATATCCTAACATAAAAGTGCAAAAATTGGTTACCTGGGACAGGAAGCTTACCTAGAAATGCGAACCCGAACAATGAACTAAGTATGATGTCGATGCAAAGGCAAATGAAGGAGCAATTTGATAATAGTTTCGGATTTCACATCCGCTGTTGAAGTCTCCCTCTGAAAGATGTTCCTAAAGGCAAGTAGTGTTTTTTTCATTCATGCCGGAAGAACGTGTGGCAAAAATTACTTTCAAACATCCAAATATGTATGTACATGTGCATATGATTTTGCCTGCCACAAACCTCACAAATGTAATCCCAACATCCACACACACACACACATACACATACTCGTTAATCGCATATGGATATTTACAAATATTTTGTCAACAATTTACAAATTAAGCCAATTGTCATAACCTCACTTACTTCGATTAAATATTTGGCATATTGGCGTCAATTAATTTCAAAATATTTGCACGGAAATTGCAAAATTTCCCATCATTCAAATATATAAAGAAATTAATTTGAAAATTATTTGTGGTGCAGTCAAATGTTAAATTACTACGTAAAAGAAATTCTTCAAATTGGCGTGTTTTGATGAAGTAATTATGGCATGAGCTGCAATTAGCAAAAACCGTTTGATGATATTCAGGCGCCGATGTGCTGATTGAAAATGCAATTTTTTTTATAATAATCCTTTATTTGTTGATCTACTAGGTTGTGTTGGCTTACATGTTTTGATTATAAGTATATGGAGATTTAAAAAAATTTTCTAAATATGATTCAATCTATACTGAGGCTAAAAATATGCATGAGCAGGCATTTGCACAAACTTAGATGTAGTATGTATGATGTGTGTACATACATATATGCATATAATCGTAATCGGCTCAGTAAAAATTGCAAATTGAATACAAAAATAATGGCAATCAAAATTTCACTGCAGCAAATCATTTTTAATCTGGCAATTCATGCCAGATTTTGATGAAATTTTTGCACTCAAAATAAATTGAATAAAAATTATTCAACAAATTTTAATTCAAATGTGTGCATTTTCGAGTGAATGTAGAGTCGCTATAATGCTAAAAATAAGCAAAAATACACACACTGCTGGGAAAATGTGAACTAAATAGTAATCTATAGTGCTAATAAAGCCCTGGCACTGCTGTTTCATCCAATTTATGGTGCGTCTTGAATATTTTTTTGAGAAATCTGCCAAGTGGAAATTAAATCTTTAAATATTGCAAAAAATCAAAATAAAAAAAAATCGAAAAAAAATTTTTGTGAAACAAATATACTTATATCTTCTTTGAAGATTTTAATTCAAAAATTTAAATTTTGTTTATTATTTGAATTAAAAATTTTGGATTTATCCCAAACAAGTACGATTTAACAAGATTTACTTTTATCTTTATGAATGTCATGCAAACAAACAAATTTCAAAATTTTCAGGAAGAAAAAGTGAAAATTTTCTTAAGTGGAATTTTGGTTTAATTTTAAAATCTATGTTCAGTTCAGGATTTTGACAAATTTTTTTGAAAATAAGTCTTCATTTTGAAGCTAAATCTGCACTTCTGGCAACACTGATGACAAATGGTTTTTATGAGAAGCTAATCACTATTGTCGGTCGCTGTGATGTAGTGGTAAGCAGTCCGCGCTTCTACTTCGCAGCGCCTGGATTCAAGCCCTGGTCAAAGCAACATCGCAAAATAATATAGAAAAAAGTTTTTTTTTTTTAACAGCGGTCGTCCCTCGGTGGGCAATGGCAAACCTCCGAGCGTACTTCTGCCATGAAAAACAGCTTCTCATAAAAATACAATCGCCGTTTGGAGTCGGCGTAAAACTGTAGGTTCCTCCGTGCATGGAGTCGCTCTCGTATGTGTATTGCTAGAGATCTAACTTAAAATAAAGAACGAAAAAAAATAGAAAGTTGCCACCTGTTCGAAAATTGCAGTTTATGTAAATTAATAACATAAAGTAAATATTGCAATGTACCTGTCAAGAGGAAGAGGTTTAAGAAGGCTTACAGCCGAAAATATTTTTGTGGAGGTTGCCACGGTTTTTATTTAATTTAATTGATAAGTAACATCAATTAAATTGTGCAATATCAGTGTCAAATGCAGAGGTTTAGGAAAGTTTACTGCCCAAAATTTATTTTTAGGAGGGTTGGCACCTGTTTGAACAATTTTATTTATGTAATAAAATTGATAAAATAAATGAAATATTAAGAGGCGGGTATCAAAAAACACCAAAATATTTTTAAGGCGCAGTGAAGCACGCCGGGTATTTGCCAGTTTTTTTTTTATAAAATTCTAGCACAGTATAGTACCAGCACCAAATAAATCCACATTTTAAACTTCGAACAAAAATTATAAAAATTCGACAAACTTTAGCAATTATATTTACAAAATTTGGGTAGCCCATTAAACTTTAGTAGGTTTAAGTGCAACTTTTAAGACGCTAGGAAATCGCGTTGATTTTTAGGAAGCTTGTCAAAATACAATTTAAACAAAGTTTTAGAGAAAAAAACAATTGCCCTACATATAAAGCTATACTCGTAAGCCAAAATTTAGGGGGCATCGGATATAACTATTCTACGCGTGATCTTTCAAAGACGTGAGCAGATAATGGTTAAATAATTTAACTTAAATGCTTAAAAAAGACAACACCGAGGAAAACCATAGCCCCCTTATTTCAGTATTGAAGCACATAGGCGTCATTTTAGAGCAGCGATGGGCAGAGACAGCTTTTACTCTGCGCGCGCCTATACAAAATATATAGAAAGCTTGAAAGAACATTGCCTACGGGCAAGACAGTGCCCATCGCCGCTTTGGACAAAACACTGACAAGGCAGCCCAACGTTGCGGATCGAACGAGAAAGCACGCTTGCAAGGCTCCCATACTGCTTTAGATCACATTTGGCCTCTTCATACATAGGTACGCGTGCCAAAGCTTTCAAAAGCTCTCTGTATAATTTATATAGGGCAGACACAAAATGAAAGCTTTCGCTGGCCAACTCTGAATGTAGACAGTAGCTGTAAGTTCATGCTTACTAAAGCTTTACTAAACTGTATAGCCGTAGGGCTTTTTGGTAAAATTCGTCAAGCCGTAATGCTATACATAAGACCAAATGAATTACACCGTATACCGTATGCCGATTCCGAAAGATTTCTTTTGGAATATGTATTTGTTTAAGGCCGCTAGACCACTACTTCATCAACTCTTTTCCCAACCTGGCTTCTGATATATTCCGATAGATAAGCAGTTACCAGGCCATTGTGAAACCTCGCCTAAAGAGACAATAGAATGAAATTTGCCACACTGAGAAAAGAGTTTAGTTACGTCAACTAAATATGTTTTCTTCAACACATGATTTAGTTATAATTACATTATTTGGTTATAGTTACCAAATGATGTGTTGTGAGAAATTTATTTAGCTGACTTTTTTCTGTGTGCCCACATAGTTGGGTCGTAGAGACATGCGAGTAACGTTCACCCATCTGCCTGGAAGGGAAGTACTATGTCTGACGTCACCACCTTCAATAATGGCTTATATTACACTTCTTCGAGAATAAAAATATAATTGGGCCGGCAAAATCGACTTGCAGGACGATCCAACAAATCTAGCCAGATTAGACAAGAAAAGGTCAGACTTACTAATTCGCTGTAATGTCTTCTACTTCGGCTAGTCAGCAGCAATATAAGCGGCAACTGTTTAATGTACAGACATTGTACTAGACCGTGGCAAGATAGAAATTGAAAGCAGCCTACACTGTAACTTCACTGTTACTTTTCTGACTTTCTGGCGGAGCATTTCAGAAGCAGACGTATGTGTACCTGTCTCCCTTACTAGATCCAGGCAGCCATTCCAACCTAACCTAAACTAAATTCACTTTAAAAAATATTACGGAAAAATAATTAAATTTCTCCGAACCAAGTAGTCTTTAACAAGTAATGGAACACAATAAATGTGAAGGCATTTATCAACAGCCTGGTAGCGCCATCAGGTTTTAATAATACGAATTTCATAGCTTTATTAACTTTTGGCAACAATCATTTCGTATTTAAGACTCCACCATTTCGTTAACGTCCACGCTTTCGTCCCAGCGGATACTTCACCGTCACTCTTTTACCCACAGCACGAATGCCTGCCCAGGTTTCCCTCACCAAGCGATCAATATCGGATGCTGGCGGCTCAAAACCGCTACTACCAGCAAAAGGCAATTCCATTGTGTAGGTCAATGCAAAGCCATCATTGAAGGCATAGTCATCGCTTGCACCACATGCTTCACCATAGAGCGCTGTCGAAGAACCCACTTCGTACTCGGTGCCGTTGTATGCGTGTATAGCTTCCGCACCTACTACACCCACTTCATGCAAGTCCTCCCAAGTGTCTGGCAATACACTGCGAACAATAATCAAGTTTGCAACGTGTTTGATATAATTAAAAAATAGAAAATGTCCTGCATTTGCTGTGAGTATACTCACGGCCCCCAACCCCATGGATAGTAGAAGGCGCTGCCATACGAGTGCAAAGACAAGTATAGAATACCGCGACCACGTAGCGTATGCAGGATATCACGCACTACCACCGTTTCGGGCTCTGAAAATGGTCGCGGCCCAGCGTAGAAATTTGAGCAGGGATCCGATGATGCACCCTTTTCTAACCAATGAAAATCAAAGTTGCGATTCGGATCGGTGCCATAGCACACGGTGCCATTGCTTAAGGTGACAGGTTGGCGTGTCTTACGCCAAAGTCTTGTCTCACTCGACAACTGCGTGTACTCATAACCATCGGGATTCACCACCGGCAATACGATCCAATCGTAATCGTTTAAAAGCTCAGCATGCTCTTCGAAATTTTCAACCAATTCGCCTATTGAAAAAACGACCGTGGCCGGAGATATCCATTCGTTTGCATGAAAACCACCATCAATGAAAATTACATTTTTACCGGCGCGTCCATCACCATTCGTAATGGTTATGGTCTTCAACAGTCGCCCTTCGTATGATTTACCAACAATTTTGACGTAAACACGCGATGGATAGCGTGCTGCCAAATCGTCTAAATAGGCATTGATTTCGCTGTGCGTGTGGTAACGTTCGGTGCCAAGACGGCCAGTGCCGGCGGCATATGGTTTTGATTGGTGGAGCATGCGATGCTGCAGCACTTCATCTTGGAGAGTGCGTCCGAAATTTGAGTTTTGTAATGTGTGTGATATTTGTTGCTTTTCAAGTACAGCTTTAAGCGCCGCTTCATTTTCTGGTGAAACAAGTACGCTTGCGCTTCCGTTGAAGTTGCGACCTAGTGTAAGGAATTCATATTTGTCGCTGACTTCACTGGCTAGTGCGCGAAGTGCTTTCCTTCCAGCGAGGTTTTTCGCTTTGATTTCATAAACCTTATAACTTCAAGTAAATTATGTATTATGTTTGTTAGACATATTTCGATGCACACAAAAAGGAAGTTTCTGGTCTCACCCATCATATCTGCCAGCGCTCGCAAGTGCTAACGCTCCACATAAGACCAATAGGAATTGAAAGAATTGTTTAAGCATAACAGCAACTAAACTACACAAACTCCAATCAATTACTGAGTTGGCTACTATATGAAACGCTTTAAGCACCCATGGAGTACATGCATAGAATAATTTATTTTTGCACAGCTAATACGAGTATAGGGTGATTCAAGGGTGATGCAGATGGTTTTTAATCGGATTTATTTAGCTAATTTTATTTATTTTTTTAATACGCTCAACTTGGGTTTAAAATGAAAGGACTAGACTGGCAAACTACCCTGCATTACAAAATATCCAAAGATCCAAATCTAAATCCAAGATGGTCGCCACCAAAACAGGCAGTTTATTTTTTTTTCAATCCCCTCTACGAAATTGAGTGGCTTGACGAGTAGACCACTGCGCATTTTAGAAAAAACAATCCTTATTGAAAATCGCGTCCCAAACACTGACATCTAAAGCATAGTTCACTCAAAATCGGTACGCATGAAATGGGTTATATCTTTTTAATAGGTTTTCAGAAAAAAAAATTTAATATGTTAAAATAAAGAGAAAACATTCCATTATAGATACATGTTACCGAAAGTTTCATATTTTGCTTGGATAAATAAATAAGAGGCAATTTCTTTGATAATGATCAAATTTTTCTGAACACCCGTTCTAGAGACTTGTGTAGTCAACTTGCTCTACTAAACTATCTTCAGTTTATGTTTTTCCACAGCTCGCACATCTCTACTAATTTTGTTTTAAATAAATACCATGTATTTTTCGATTTTACTTAAATAGGTGATATTCGTAAATTGATGACTTCCAGAACTTTATTCAAATCATTGGCTTCAAACTGATTTAAAGTTACCTGTGAATAATTAGTTTTCATAAAAACCAACCAACACTTTACAAAAGGTCCAAAGTAAATGATACAATGAAATTACACTTTGTGCAAGCGCTCCCACCAGCATATTTCTGGGGTCATATGACCCATTGTGGAGTCTGATCGAGTTTTAATGAGACTGTCTCGATTCTCTTGTCATTTCATAGCATTTTGACGACTGTGTCAACTTCTATAGATTTAGTTGTAAAAGGATATCATCCTGTTTCTTTTTAGCTTAAAACTTTTAACGTGGGAGTTGATCGTAGTCCAGTTTTAAACATGTTTTATTAGTCATTATTATAAAATACCACATTTGGTGTGAACATTGGGGTAAAGTACGCGGGTGCGGTTTTTGTTATAAAATGTATTTAATCGAACAGAATTTTATATATTATAACTCGATAAGGTTTAAGTTTTGCTATAGCTTGCATACGCTGAACTGTGGGTAACCGTTTTCCAATTCTTTCGCGCGATCTTCTTCTGATAAGCCGTTTTTTTCCCTAATTCAGGTAAAGAGCCTTATCCTTAAGCTGGTGCGAAATGATGTCTCTTAATGATTAGCTTACCCCGTTAGTTTAAGCAGAAGGAATCTATTCATTGACTTTTGGAAGATAATTATAAGTTTTTGGTATATTTAATTTTAATTTGATTTTTGCATATATGTAATACTTCTATATTGGCAGTAAGCTAGCTTCTCAATGTGTAAGCATTCCGAAATCAAAGCGATACAGTCTAGTACCGTCTTTGTCAATGTATTGTGTACTTGAGTGCCGTTTTTGTATATGTGTTGTGTACATGTTTATTTATAAACGTATGTGTTCCTTTTCTTTCGTAAGTGTTTATTGATATATCTGTACTGTAGTGTTTTCGGACGGTACTAGCTCTTACTGCCAATATAGGAGTATTACATATATGGATTTTTGATCTCGAAAATGTCGGATTTTCAACGAATTTGTTCAACATTATTTTTTGAGCAGCAACTTCCAACGCAAATAAAACTGTCAAATAAAAAGCCAGTACTATGAAATTTAAACCTCATAATGGTAGATCTATTGTCTAACGATCTGCAATGTAACTTTTTAATACATTCCAACAATTGCTGTACAGAAATTGCTGGAACGCGTACCGATTTTGAGTGAACGATGCTTTAGGTATCTAATCAAAACTAGAGACGTGCAAATTTAGAATCGAATTCAAGCATGAGTCCACCACCAAATCAAGATGCCGTATGGTGTCGAAGCAGCTTTGCGGCGGGGCACCAAAAAAAGGCAGCGGTAACCCCATCATTCCCAACACAATTAAGGTAAAAGGTTAAAGCTTAGGCATTAGGTTGGATAGTTAAGTAGCTAAATGAAAAAACAAAAACTTGAAAAATAGTAAAGTTAGTAAAAAAATTAAGTTTAAAGGCTTTGTTGTAAAGCGGATAAAAAGTGATGCAGATAATGTACTAAAGGCTAAAAAATAATTAGGCCCGTACCAATTGCCAGTGATCACCCAAATCTCTTCCCGTCAATCTAGGACATTGGTCATACGAAAAAAACGGAATCTTAATAAATATCAGGGACATTAACGGTTATGAGCTTTGTAATAAAAATCGTAATATAACCGTTAAAATTGGATGTCTATTCTTTCGGTAAAATCTTACCGTTATTTTAAGATTTTTCCTTATTTATGGATTTTTTATTTTTTGGTCAAATTAAGATCGTAATTTTTGATTTTAATTTTTTCGATCATATTATTATAACTGTTATTTTCAGTTTTTATCTTTTTAACCCAAAAAAGAGTTAAATCGGTCATAGAAATGCAGTCTCCATCATAACGGTTAAGGATTATCGAAACAAATAAATATCAAAGAATAGCGGTATAGTTTGACTGAAAAAATAAGGATCCAAATTTAACGATTAAATATTCATTCATTTTTAGAAGTCGACAGCCAAAAGTTAAAAATTTTAAATTGTGGGAGGCATGTTAAAAATAGAAAATAAATGTATGGGTGCCGCTAGGCGCGATTTTTTTTGTGGATACTGTTGGTATATGGATCAATTGACAGAATAAGTATAGTAAGTGCTCTGTATTTTGCGATATAGGAAAGATTTCGTCTACAAAAAGAAAAAGATTGGTATGCACCAAAAAGGTTAAAACTTTATCAGCTCAAAAAAAAAAAATATATATATGTGTGCGCACAATTCGGTGACATTTTCTTATATTTCCTCAAGAAAGAAATGAAATTGAAACTGAAAACTTTCAACACGTTATTGAGACTTAAAAATACTCAGTTTTCGGTGCACGTACAATTTAATTTTTCACCCAAATAGGTAACCAAATTTTTTCAAACAAAGTTGCATTAAGTAGACAATATTTTTACATATTTGATAAAAAATTAATTGAAAAATTACAAAGAAAAAATTTAATTAAATCACCCTAGCTTAGCATAATGGACCACTGTGCGACGTCGCCACTCAAACAGCCTCAACTGCGAACGAGGATCCCAAGATGCTATGTTTCACGAAACAACGGGGTCAAATGACCGCCGGAATCTTGCAATTTGACAGCTTTGGACTTTTTTCTCTGGAGATTTTTTGGAAAAAGTGAATATGCTTTTAACAGATATTTTAATTTGTACATAAATGCCATAGACTAAAATAGTACATGATGAAAAAAAATAAAAAATCGTCAAATATTTTGTGTGTTTTATTTATAAAAGCAAATCAGCGGTCTTATTGAGTCACCCAGTAGCTACAATCTTATCAGCTCTATCAGCGTATATTTGTCAGCCGCCTTCGTATCTATCGACTATTGAAGCTATTAAAAATTTTAAATTCACAATCATTTTCAAGCTAAATCGGTGGTGCAAATATAATTACTCTATTTGATAGCTGAATTACCAAGGTTCAGACAAACTAAAAAGCTAAAATGCATGCAATTGTAAGAATGCAGTTAGCAGCATTTATTACTTCACATCTTATCTCATTTTCATTGTGAAAAGTGACGATATGAAGACGCTAAATATTTATAATTATTAAACATAAAAGAAAAAAACAGCACAGGATGAAGCAAAATATTAAATTTATGTAGACTAGCACACTTCTACGTTGTGATACGTAGCAAGTCTCGGCAGGGTGAAATGATAGTTTATATACACAGTGCGCAAAAAGATTTAATACTCTTAGGATTAGGATAATTCTGACAAAGCTTCTCCTTCTTGATTTGCGCTACAACCGCTGTAGCGATTTTGGCTGAGCTAAAAAAAAACACTTGTCCTTAAGCTCAATTCCAGCAAGACTCAAAATTGTACTCCCTCCCTTTTTCAACGGTGTGGGGCTTGCACTGTCTTACGAGATTTAATACCTCGGTATAACTCGTGGAACTTGGATGGGAATCGAAAACTTACAGAGCGACGCAAGAAAGATATGACCATCCAGAGCGCGCCTTTAAAGCAGTGGTTGTCTGACCCCTATTTTTCTTTGGCATTATCGTATGCTGGTCGGCTCTAGAGAAGTCTACTTATAGGAGCCCACGGAATAGCGTACAGAGGGATGCCTCTCCGTTAATCACAGGATGCCTACACTCTACCCCTAGTAAGTCGAGTTCACTAAATTTTCTGCCTACCTACCTTTGAGGTAAATATCATTCCACGGATGGAGATGAAGTACAAAAGAACGAAGCTGGCAGCAGAATTTACTCTGGGAACATCTAATTAAACTACAGCATTCGGCTCCTTGACAACTGTAGCGTTTACCAGGCCAAAAGACAGCTATAAAGGAGTCATAGGGCTATGAGTCAATTGTGCCGAAACTACTCTACAGTAAAATACCTGGAAACTGCACGAGGCTGAAGAGCTCACAAGGGGGCAATCGACCTATACCCAGTTAACTTTTCGTACAGTGTCTTCTTGAAAATGTCGACACAAATCAACTTTCATTGAATTGAAATGCGAAAATATCTAAGACTCCTATATTAATTGATCATTCCATTAGCAGATCAGTGGTCGGTATTATTACTGGGTACCGCTTAATTGGAGCGCCCTGACACTGGCCTCTCTTTCTAGTCCGACTTGTATGGGATACCATCAGAGCTCAGTGATATTGCAGGTAAATGCGTCGCGGATGATTGACATCCTCGAGTCGGTTTGCCCGAGAAAAAATTAAAGTGGCTAAACCCGGGAATTTCG